TGCTTTGATTCCGCATCGAGAAAAATATCTTTAATTTCTTTTAAATATTTTATATTTCCGGTAAATTCATTAGAAGGACTTTCACAGCCACATATTTTGCCAACCATCTCGTCTGGCTGCTTCTTTTTAAGTTGTATTTTGTACATTTTTTTCATAATATACCATCGAGTAGAGCATCTGACAAAAAAGCGAAGTATTTTCTGAGTAATTCCAAACAGATTAACTGTTTCCATGCGCGAAGAAGCAGAATGCACACCGACAAGATACGAGGAGTGAACCAAACATGCCACAAATTCCTCCAGCTTATTCATTTCTGTAATCCTAGCTTGTACTGTTTTAGAAATGCCAGCCGTATTAGACCCCTTGTCGTAAGACTGACACCGACATTGTCCAGTATCTAAACCATCGAGTGACAATTAAGACACACTAATTTTCTACAATGCATTAATAAATACATTCTCCTATATTTCCACAAACTTTTATGAAATCAAGTTAAATTTTCCTTTATCTCACATACATTCACCACACGGTTTTACGTATTGAATCACCTAGTTCATTTTTTATCCTGTATGAGACACAAATGGAGTGCAATCGAGCATTATTGTGTAGTATTTGGCTTCTTAACAACGTTTAAAATGCTAGTTCAGACTGTTTTGCCTTCAAGTTAATAACTTCATATTGAATTATCTTTGATAAATATGATTCCTTTCCCTTTGTTAGGTGCTCTGACTGGTACTTAAGAGTTGAACATGCATTCTCCTATCTTTCCACCAACTTTTATGAAATCAATTAAATTTTCCTTTATCTCACATACATTACCACACGGTTTTACGTATTGAATCACCTGGTTCATTTTTATCTGTATGAGACACAAATGGAGTGCAATCGAGCATTATTGTGTAGTATTTGGCTTCTTAACAACGTTTAAAAGGCTAGTTCAGACTGTTTTGCCTTCAAGTTAATAACTTCATATTGAATTATCTTTGATAAATATGATTCCTTTCCCTTTGTTAGGTGCTCTGACTGGTACTTAAGAGTTGAATTATGTTTGGCGAGCGAAGAAATTAAATTCAGAAAATTTTTTTCGCTAGGTCGAGGACACTTTGTGAACAGGCTACTTGGGATTTCATCAGACCCAAGAAAAGGACGACAGTTTGCTGAAAAATACAGTACCGCATCCATTACTATATAGAATTTCTCTCCATTTTCTTTCTCTGTGTGAATGAGTCGCTCAGTTTGGAATTTTCCACATAATCATGCACCTCTGTGGATTCCAGACGCTTCGAGCTCAGTTAATCTTGCTAAAACGTTTTTCCAATTAATGAATCCTGTATTATGGTGTAGCGGCAGCACCATGTTTCTGATAAATCTTGCAGGGTGTAAAAAAAAAAAAAAAAAAGAGAGCATTCTCGTCTTTAGAATATGTAAACCAAGATCTTCTAAGATTTTCATTATTTACTAATGTTTTGTGTTACATGTCAAATGTCTGCCATCGCGTTCAATGGGACTGAGGTTTATGCTTTCTGGATGTTTACCGGCTAATAATACAGATTGACTTCTTAATAAAGACTGTTGGTGATCGTTCAATTTTTTTCTATGACCAGCCAACTGCATGGGTCCAACAAATCAAAAATTTTTAGTTTTTCGCCTTTCTGCTACCCGCCCCCATTATATAATCCCAGGGAAACTGACACATATTGGCAATAATGTCTTTGTGGGACCTACTCTTTTCAACGGAAAGATCACTGTGCACAATAGGCAATACAGCAAATACGGGAGTGCATACTATCCAACTCGTAATGGTGTGAATTTAGAACCCTCGTCTTTGGACACCTTCTCTGCAAGCCCACAGGACGTGTTCACAATGAATCTGCAACTACCCTAAGAATTTTAGTGCTGAATATGATGGTTACCACATCACGTTAAAGCAACTAACAGTAAAAGGAGTGGAGAAAAGTAGTCTTAGTCTTACAATCGCCCAGTGGGAAGAATTGTCCACAAATTACAGTCGTATCAGTGAGATTGTCACTAACCTCGTCTATCAATGTATGGGCTTTTGTGAAGCCTACGAAAGTGTGTCCGAGGAACCTATTAACGAGGAAAAGCTTCCAGAATCCTTCGACATTTCTTTGGGAACAGCATGCCTCCAAACCATTCTAAAGACGTCACTAGAAGAGCTGATCCAAGAACACGGAGATTTAAAGTATCCTAAACTTATAGACTGTGAAGAGCTCGCTATTCATAAAACAGAAACTATCAATTCCTTGGCTCTGAAAGTAAACTCTATCGACATAGCCAGGCAATTTTATGGAAATGTATGGACTGAAGAGCCTTATTTACTTCTGACTTAAACCCAGCACATTATATCACAAAAGACTTTTTAAAAATCTGTTTGTCTCAAACATGTACTTGATGAAGTGAAAGAAACATTTTGTCCTACCAATTTGGAAAAAAAAAAAATATGGTGCTTATGGTATTGAATATTATGAATGTTTAAAAAATAAATAAAATTATTTGTTTATAATGGTCTCTTTACTGTCTCATAATTAAATTAAAAATAAATATATGTATAAAATTAAGGGAACACTATAAATACTCATACATATTCGCTTTTCATTCATAAGAAGGATTGTTATAGAAATGAGGGTTGTATATTTAAGAGGAAACTATAAATAGCAATGAACTTTCACATTTCTATTAGTAAAAAATCACTGCTGCACACTTCATGAATCTGAGTCAGATGTATCGCAATCCAGCCCTTCCCGCCAGTTTTGGTGGAGTGAGTGCTTTGCATCGTGCTTTAAAAGGCAAAGAAAGTCACAAGACGATCAAGAAATGGCTTACCAGCAAAGAGTCATATACTTTGCACAAGCCTATCCAGCGACATTTTCGTCGCAATCGCGTCCTCGTCAAAGGCATCGACGCTTAGTTTCAATCTGATTTGGCAGATATGCAGTCTCTTGCCAAACACAACGATGGATACAAATATTTGCTAACATGTATTGATGTGTTTTCCAAATATGCTTGGGCTATTCCACTAGACAAAACAGGCCAGAGTGTTAAATCAAGCTCTGGAACGTATTTTTAGCCAAAGAAAACCATATGTTTTACAGACTGACAAAGGTAAAGAATATAAAAATAAAATCGTTCAAACTTATCTTAAAAAAGAAAAAGTTCGTTTTTTCACAACTGAGAACAGTACAGTGAAAGCAAGCATCATCGAACGATTCCACAGAACCCTCAAAAGCAAATGTGGAAGTACTTCAGTGAAATGAATACGTACCGTTAATATTGACGTAATAGATAAATTAATTCACAGGTATAATCATATTTGGCATCACTCTATTCAAACTGAACCAGCTAATGTCAATAAACACAATGAGAAACAACTGAGGAATCAATTACACTCATGTCCATAAATTAAGGATAATGCAAAATCAGGCATAGGAAGAATTAGAAGCAAAAAAAAAATTTGACTTATTTGTAAAGATTATTTATTAAACAAAAGGTAAAGAGAAAAAAAAAAAAAAAAAAAAAAAAAAAATAAAAAAAAAAAAAAAAAAAAAAAAAAAAAAAAAAAAAAAAAAAAAAAAAAAAAAGATGCTATATGTTTGATATTATTAAAAACATAGCGATTTTTTTCTCCCTGGAGAAAAATTACAAAAAAAAAAAAAAAAAAAAAAAAAAAAAAAACCTATTTACAAAAAACCAATATTACTGCTTGGTATGATTGTTAATACATAGTATGTCTTCCAGACGATGTAATGCAGTCCGTACAACGCCTAGGCATGCTGAGTATCAAATTATCGATCTGATCTTGGGGGATATTACACCACTCAAAAAGCAATGTTCTCCGAATTTCCGGTAGACATGTAGAGGAGGTTAATGGGCTGCAACTCGTCGGCGAAGCATGTCCCACACGTGCTCTACCGGATTTAAGTCCGCTTAGATTGCTGGCCAGTCCATACGGGTGATATCCTCCGATTGAAGACATTCGCTTACGATGTTTGCACGGTGAGGACGGGCGTTGTCATCCATAAACACAAATTGTGCGCCCATGGCGCCCCGAAACAAACGTACATGTTGTTCCAGAATGACGTTCCGATAGATTTGGCTTGTCATGGTTCCAATTTGAACATGCAGGTCAGTTCTGGAACCTAGAATAATTCCAACCCAAACGAGCACTCCTGCACCATCGTAACGGTGTCGTTCAATGATGTTTTCTTGGTGTTAACGGGTTCCTGGAGCTCTTCATATGAAAGTCCGGCGAGAATCAGACTGCAAGCTAAACCTGGACTCGTCGGGAAACATCACACAAGCCCACTGTTGCGGTGTCCACAATGCATGCTCTCTACTCCAGGCTAACCGCAGGCGACAGTGAGTTGCAGTAAGTGGAACGCATCTAACAGGTCTACGAGCATATAGACCAATCTTTCCCTAAGCGTCTGTACACGGTCTGACTTGAAATTGTCGTACCAGTGGCTGAAGAGAGCTGAGGAGACATGTTTGAGGCTGTGCTCCGCCTGTTTCTTTTGGCAGTAACTGCCAAATACCGGTCCTCATTCGGCGTTGTAACTCTGGGGCGACCTGTGCTGTAACGTCTACTCACATTAACATCATCTTGGAATCGTTGCCAAAGCCTGGAGATGACACTTTGGGCAATTCCAATTTCATCTGATACTTCCAGTTGGGTACGCCCACATTCCAGACGGCCGGTAATTCTACCACGTAAAAAATCATCCAAATGCATTCTTTGTGTCCTAACTATTCGGTTATTGCACTGAAATGCTTATAAAACGCCTGCGAACAATTTTACTTCTTTGCCTGTATTCCTTATATATCACTCTCATACACTCTCGTCATTGTGACCATCGGTGTCATCTGGTTACTTCCTGAAATTTGCATATGTTTCTTGAAGATGTGTGCAGTTATTTTACAGGTGATATATTTTTTTAGAGTTCGATTTCCGCATGACTCCGAATTATCCTTAATTTATGGACATGAGTGTATATAAAGACCTACCTAAACCTCAACCTAAGTTCAAAGTGGGAGATACAGTGCGCGTTAGCAAATTAAAAATGATTTTTGAAAAAGACTATGAAAGTAACTGGACAAGAGAAATATTTGCGATACATGAAATCCTTCCTAGAAATCCACCTGTTTATCGACATAAAGACCTCGCCGGAGAAGTCATTGAAGGAACCTTTTACGAAAAGGAACTGCAAAATATTTCAGATTCTGACTATTATTCTGTTGAAAAAGTGTTGCGAGAAAGAAAGAGAAACGGTGTGACGGAATATTATGTGAAATTCTTAGGTTATCCACCAAAATTTAATGCATGGGTCACCGATGTGAAAAGAATATAAGAACTCCACATCGTATAAAGAATCGTCATTTGCCAAGATGTCTTTCTATATGACGTTACCTAGTGATAGCTCTCAAAGTTATTTTCCAGAAAATACTATCTCTCATTTCATTACTCAATTACCTGTACCATATCTTTGAACGTGAAATGGGAAGTTGGTCATTCTGAGATCATTTACCCGCATACCTGGTACAATATTAACAAAGATAACAATCTCTTTGGCTTTGATTTGGGTGACTCTTCAGGTGTAAGGGAAATTGCTAATGGAAAAATACTACCAGGATGTTACGAAAGTGTCCCAGATCTCTTAAAGGCCATGACTTTAGCTTCATTTAAAGATAAAATCTCCTTACACTATGATCCTTCAACAAAAAGAGTAAAAATTGTCACGCAAAATGGAGCTCGGTTAATCTTTTCTGATTCAGGATTGGCAAGTTTATTAGGCTTCGACCCGCAGATTGTCGAAGGTACTTGGAATAGTCCATATGTGGATGATCTGCATTCTGCTTGTAGCAGGAAATTCATTTAATACAATCGAAATGGAAATCCAGCTCAATTCGGGTACATTCTTTCCTTTTGAGAGGGGTAAGATAATTCTTGTGCTTCATTTCCGAAGGCGACAAATCCTATAAATGTGACAACAGAAGAGGAAAAGTTTTATTTGTAAAAAAGACATCAAGATGCTCGTACCATACGAATATTGTACTCAAAATTATGAAAATCATTATCAAACCGGCTCGTGGCTTTCTTATTACCAAGGTCAAACCTATCAAAAGGGCTATGGTCTCGGGGGATTTTTTCGCAGTCTATTTCGCTCTGCTATGCGTTTGTTTGTGAAAGGAGCCAAAAACGGTGGGAAAAGAAGCTTTGCACACTGGAGCTCTTATCGCAAATGATGTGTTGGCAGGTAAAAACATTAAGCCTGCTGCTAAACAAAGATCGAAAGAGGCGGGAAAAGTATTAGCGGCAAAAGCTATTCGTAAAGCCCAGACCATGGTTGGTAGTGGCAAGTATAAAAGGAAGCGAAAACAGTCAAAACACTTCATTTCTCCGAAAGCTGTGAAACAGAGAAGACGTGATATTTTCGATTCATAATGGCGCTTTTATCATGAAAGATTCCCCTGAATGTGTTAAATCCGAATTAGAACTTTTCATTTACCTGGAACTCAAACGGCGATTCAAAGCGGCCAATGGGTTCAATTTCATCCTCTATCTAATGAATTTGACGGAGGTCCCGTAGAATTCCATATTTCAGGCAGTGGAGAAGATTATATTGACCTGTCACAGACACAACTCTACGTGAGAGCAAAAATAATAAAAACGGATGGTTCACCTCTGGATAAAGATGCTAGCATCGGCCCAGTAAATCTGTTCCTGCATTCTTTATTTTCTCAGGTGGATGTCACATTAAACGAACGACTGGTTTTGTTTTGTTAGGGCGTAGCTCGGTCCAACTTGCAAAACAAAGTTGTGACCCTATACGGGCTACGCCAGTACAAAAATCACCACACAACTATACAAATACACGAATCACACAATGCCAATGGCTTCTTTATTGTTGTTAATAATCTTCATAATCTTATGCGCTATTCCTCTTGCCCTAAGTAAACCATTTTTCATAAAATCTATGTTCGCTCCATCAATGCATCTGGTTAACTTACATTCTGTGATAAAGTTCATTATCTCCTACTTTTGTATATACTTTACATAAATCATTATCTTGAACATGGAATCTTTTCAGATAAAAGGGAAATTTCCCATGACTTGTAATTAACTGATTCAAGTCAATTCATATTTTCCTTAGAACGACTGGTGTCTTCTTCTACGACATACCCCTATAGAACTTATGGCTATGATAATAAAACATCAAAACTGACAGCTGAAATGTATGAAAAAGATCCAGAGAAGCAATCTTACTTTTTCAAACTGAGTTCTACTGTTGATATGATTGGTGGCATTCATTTTGACTTATTTCATCAAGAAAGGCTTTTATTAAATATGGTGGATGTTAAATTAACTCTCATAAGAAGCAAGCCGGAGTTTTGTTTGCAAGGGGAAAGCAGGTCATAAAGTGGTTTTAGAACATGTATCTCTTTTCGTGAGAAAAGTGCGTGTGAGCCCTGGAGTTATCCTAGGTCATGCCAAAGCGTTAGAGAAGAGTAATGCCAAGTATCCTATTAATAGAGTATTATGTAAAGTCTATTCCATTCCCCAAAATAGCATGTCCCTTATACAAGACAATGTTTTTGTTGGTCAGATGCCTTAAAGAATTGTAATTGGATGTGTTGATAATGACGCTTTTCACGGAGATTTTGCCAAGTCACCATTTGAGTTTAAACATTATTACCTGAATTTCATTGGAGTGTACGTCGACGGATAGCCTGTGCCTTACAATCCACTGGAACCAAATTTTGAGAACGAAATCAAAGCAGGTGCAACAACAGACACGTCAGATTACTTCCAGTTAACCCCCTCCATGAGGCTCGCATCGGTGAGGAGTCGAACAAAGCAATGACCTAGACCTTCTATTTATCCCTGCCTGCGCCCCCTTCTGCGGGCAGCACGATGGTCCTGTGTCAACGAAGTACAAAATATAGATCTGCGTTTGGTTTGGTTTATTAGATTACGGCAAAGCACTCGAGGGCTATCTGCCTTAAGGAAGGGATGCCTTCGTGGACGACTTTTTAAGATATAGATCTGCGAGAATACAAACTCACATAGTGGAGTCGGTTTCGATTAGTGAGAGTCGAAAGTCTGGTACCGGTAGACCTCTGAAGGTGCTGTTGCGAGAAAGTGCCGTTCATAGCACAAGCGCCTGGCCCCAGCCACCACCCCAAGCTCATATTGGACACGACTTCTGATGTCATACATTGACGAAAAGAATTCTCTGCAGCATTTTTGTGCGCCGAAAGCTTGAGCTCGAGGTCATTTTAGCGCTGAAACAGGCGAAGCAATGGAATAATTTGCCATATTTGCGAAAAAATTACAAAAATAAAAAGCAGCTTCAGAAATATATTGTTAATAATATAGAAATATATTAGAAAAAATATATTTCTATAATAAATAATATTATATAATAAATAATATTAGAAAAAAGGTGCAATTCGGTGTGCAGTCGATAACCGTTTAGCAGTATTTTGGTCATTAGACGAATATCGAAGTCATTTGACAATAAACACCTTTATAAGATATAAAAGTTAAGAAACAAAACAATAATGCATAAAAAACAGAATGATAACTCCAATTGACAAAGTCAAATAAACGATATTATAAGTATTTTACGATTTTAAAAGTATCTTATCACTTTATCTTATTTTAACCATAAATGAGGAGAAATTAATGCCTAGGATTAGAATGTAAAAAATTAATCTGACTACGAACAATTTTGATACCAAACAATCAATCTATATAACAAAGCAATAAATGAAAGGAAGATTATTTAGTTAATCAAACAGTTTAATTTTTATAAAGAAATAACTAGCATTTACATTTATATTACTTTTAAAAACATATTTCTGCAGAATAAACCGCTAATTCATGAAAACTGCGGCAGACATTATTTACACAGCAAGAGTTAAGTGCTATTTCTTGACATTGCTGAATGGTCTCCTGTTATATGAAATTATACAATACATTTCTTAAATATCAGTATAGCGCTATGAAATGCATTGAATACAGATTGCTTAGCCAAACACTATTTACGGATTATAAAGTTTTATCTATTCCATTTACATGATTAAACAATTTATATAAAAAGTGCCGACATATTTTCTTATACTGTTAGGTTCGTTTTAATTGCAAATATTCTGTTACATTGCACAAATTCACATTACCACCGGAGAGAAACAAATCCAAAAGTTCCCCTTGACATAACTCAAACGAAACAGATAATGGAATCTTTTCAGCCTGACGTCATAAACGGCAACCAATAAGAACAGGGGTGGTGGCTGGGGCCAGGCGCTTGTGTTCATAGTGCGATTCCTTCTAGCCGTTGGTGCTAAATACTGATCCTCATGTTGTGTTATTGCAGGCGTACGATCTTGTCCCAATCTTTGGTGAACATATCCAGTTTCCAAAAGCAGATTCCATAATGTGGAAATGATACTTTGAGAAATTGCCAATGCTTCCGCTACGGCGGATTGCGTTTAGCGCGCCTCAAAACGACCGATTGCCCTCCAGGCTACCGATTCAGCTAAGTCATCTTGCTGAGATAACATACTCACTGTTACAAAACATTCAACGTATGTCAATTGTTTTTAATATCCTCCTATAGAAGGAATGCTGCAGGTCGCTTTTCACTCCTTATCTAAAACACGTATTTGTCGACCTCACAGAGAAAATTTGCATATTCCCAACTTTGTAAACGCTATAATTTTCTTTTTTATTCTCTTCTATTTCATTTTTGTTAAAAAAGTTGTCGACTTTATGGTTATTTTATACCGAACTCACAATATTCCTGAATTCTTTTGAGCAGTCTATTTTAAAACGTACACTTATCCCCTTTTTCCTTTGGATAAGTGAATATCTTTCATTCCCTTATTGCTGTTTTAAGCCATACTTTTAGATATATAACTGATTACTGTATATTCCGGCGTATATCGTGTACTTTCAATACACGATATACTCCGGAATAAAAAATAAGATCGAAATTTACGGCTGCTCGTTATACGCGGGATATAAAAATGATAGATTTAAAAATAAAGAATCATCTTCCGTTCCATCTAGATTGTTAGATATACTGCACTATTTAAATGACTTATGTCGATTATATCGTGTTTTATTATCCACTCACACATTATTTCTAAACTAGCATGACGCATTTGGTCTGCTTTTGTAAGTGTTTTTTAACCTTCTAACATCCACGTATTCCACTGTTGTTTTAAATTTTCTTTGAATGGTTTATTGATATACACATCTGAAGACCGAACTTCTGTCGTTAATGAGCCTGAATAACTGCCATGTTTGTATTACACTCTTTCAATAATTTCTTCATATTATCCG